GCAACTAGGCCGTCTATTACCCCCCAGAATTCAATTATTCATACACTTGCGGAGGGCTTCTGCTCTGATTTATTTTAATTAAGCTACTCATTATTCTCAACTGACACATATATGGCGCCTATACAATTCACAAGGGGCCGATTTTGAAAACCACACCCAGCAGTTTTGCTTCCTATAACAGGGCTATTTAGCATTTGTTTAAAGAATTAATTTGAATTATAATGTTACATCATACATATTCGTGTGTTTTAAATTTTCGAAAGGTCAAACTCAAGTCAACACAGGAGTCTTTAAGATAAACGCTTCCCATAACGTATGGACGTGTATTATGTTGAACTTCTTACGCACCGTACGTAGCCAACCGTGATAATTAGAGGTGCGTGAGGGGGGCGGGGAGGACAACCAAACGGCATTGTGGAAGATTGTTTTGGGAATATTCGCCCATTCACGAAAAGTGATCAAAATTCATGAGCAAGGTCACGTTCGCAACCAACTTGCTGCACTGCCTTGCGCAGGCCACCTCGTCGCGTCGACCAACGGGGTTCGTCCAAAATGCACGGCGATTATCACTCCGTGTCATCGTCGTCGGTGGAATGGGCACGTGCTGTAAAGCGAGCACTTATAAAGGCCGGCACGGCACGCGAGGGGGTTGCTGGGTCCTACACCACAGCCAGGCCACCTTTGCCCCCCCCCCCCCCCCCTAGTGCTGATCCGCACCGGGTACTCATTTAAGGCCGAGTAGACCTCGGGAAGGCCCAGGACGGTTCATATATTAGCCACTGTTATTGGTCATGAGCGGATAGTGAACTCAGGTCACCGGATTTGTATTGCTGTAAGCCAACCACTAGACCACTGCCCTATCCATACAAATACAAATATCCCCCGTATAGCCTTTGACATACTTTTGGGCCAAATGCTGTTAGGGAGCACCTATGAAGGCCGGCAAGGCACACGAGGGGGTGGGTGGCCAACACCACGCCCAGCCGTCTTTGTCTCCCCAGTGGCGATGTTTACACACCACACCAGGTACTCATTTGAGGTTGAGTCGACCTAGGGGAGGCCAATGACCCGAACAGATAATCGTCACTGGTGTTGGCCGTGAGCGTGAACCGAACTCGGGTCGCGGGTTCGTAGCGCAGCGCGCTAACAAATACACACACATGTAGACACAGTCTGCCCCTGTAAGCTACCACATCCCACCACGACCATGAATAGCGTGAGCAGGTGAGCGGTTTCAAGGGGCAGGTGTGTGTGTCTTTGGGCGCGCACAGGTTTCACGGAAGACAAAGCTCACCCACAATAAAAAAAAAAAAAATTATCAGACAATGTCTAATTCATTTACCCATCTCTCTGCGTCAAAAGAATAAAAGTATTCTTTAAACAACCCATCGGCCCCACGGCCTTTTGGGAGTGAATCCTTTCAGCAGCATCGACACAGTGTTTCATCAGCAGTCAGCCTTGCTTGCGTCAACGCTGGTGAACTGCCAGACGTTCACGGAAAGAACACTGCGGCCTAAAAGGAGAAACATATAATGGGTAACATTTCAAGCAGTGTCCCTGTTTTATAGCACATATTACACGCTATGAAAGAATATGTAAATATTGTCAATTGTGTTTGTGCACCACTGCCGACGCAGCATCACCAAATAATATATATATATATTTTTTATAAACAATGCTCTAAGACAATTGTGCTGGGACAACATAAGAGAGATTCCGCCAAATGCTCAAAATCAGCGCGAGGCTGTGGCTAGGGATACCAGGAAGACAGAGAGAAAGAGAGTGCTGGCTGTCAGCAAACAGCAACAGTTGGCTTCGGGCTCCCACTCGCTCCCGTTGCCCGGCGTGTCTGCACCGCACCGCCCACACCGGTCTCATCAGCTGTGTCTGCACCGCACCGCCCGCACCGGTCCCATCAGCTGTGTCTGCACCACACCGCCCGCACCGGTCCCATCAGCTGTGTCTGCACCGCACCGCCCGCACCGGTCCCATCAGCTGTTTGCACCGCACCGCCCGCACAGATCTCATCAGCCGTACCGCGGTTACAAACTTCACTCAACTGACTCATCCTCCTCCAGGGCACAGCCTCCATCGACTCGGCGCCAAAGGCACCATAGGGTAGGAGAGAGAGCGAGAGAAACAGCCCATCCGTCCTGCTCGACTGTGTGGAGATATTATCTGCTAGAGCAAGCAGCACCGTATTGCGCGAGGAGTGAACCCAGCGCCTGCCCCAACACTCGCTGGGCCACCGTCCACCCACATCGACAGCAGAGAGCTGTTTGTTATCTCACAGATGGCGTTCACGTACCCAGCCTCCAACCCTGGCCTCTGCTATTAGCCCCCCTCCTCCCCTCCCCACTCCTGCCATGACACAGAGCTCCTTCGCGGAATAGGCTGTAACATTTCCCGTTTTTCTTTTATTACAAACATGCGAATTGTGAAATGCCACGATGGGACGATCGGTGCGTGATGTTTGCAAATGTCCAATTTACGGGCAGGTAAGCCTCGCCGATTGGACACGGCGCGGTTGGCAGAGATGGGTGACGTGGGAAGCTGCAGCCAATATTGTGGAGGTGGTGGTGGGGGGGTTGGCGGTCGCTACGATCGACGTTTCTAAGCCTCTTTTGCGAAAAAAAATATGTAATAAGACGGCTCAGTCACGCGAGAGATTGTTTTACACAATATAAATCGTTGTTACAATCAAATAATTGAATTTATGTACCCAGGAGGGTCTCACTTAAGTATTAAGGGTCTCTTTCAGGAGGCTCCTGCCCTGAAATATTTATTTTTCATTTTGGAGGAAGTCAGAGTTCCCGGGGAAAAAAAAAAACCATGGGTATGTATTTTGTATGTTTGTTGAACTTATTTGGCACCCTACGTAGTTAACCGTGGTCATCAGAGGTGCGGGGGAAGGACAGGCTAACAGTGTAGGGTCTGCACAAATGGGTTGAAGAATCTACTTTCTGTACTGCAATATCCTGGCCAACCTCACAGCCCCCACGGTTTGGGAGTTCACCACATCTCTACGTGATCCACCAATCCTGGCCTTCGCAGCACAGGGGGTGGGAGGGGGCAAGGGGGCAATTACATAAATGTGTGGCATCATCCTTGCTCAACTTTCATCCCAATTGTAAGGTCGCCACAATATTCACGGACAGTTTCCACCCATTACATTGGTCTGTCATCTGGCATTGGCGTGATAGACCCCACCCTGCTGACGAGCCCCAGTAACGTCGAGACCTGTTCGTGGTTGGCTTGTGCAGCAACAACAACAACAGAACACCAAAACACCATTGACCTATATATGTCAGCAAGTCTAATTGCTCGCCTGATTAATTAACTCGTGATTTCTTCGTTCAGATTCAAAGCACAATTTCTTGACCCATTATTTTTGTTCGCCTACGAAATGAAGTGCGTGGGCGCATTTTGGAATCGATCTTTGTCGGTGGGGGGGGGAGGTGGTGGGGGGGGGGGGGCAGTTTGACGCAGATGCCGGCAGCCGGCACGCGCAGGTACACAATGATGACATTTAGGCAACAACAATTATTCTCGCTCGGCCACAACAAAAAAAAGCCAGAACAGAGCCAGCCCGGGCACAGGGAGGTGACATCAAAATCGAATGGCGGTGAAGGAGAGGAGGTGGGGAGGAGGTGAGGAGGGAGCCCTTTGAGGCGGCTCTAACGGACCACCGGCCGCAGAGTCCCGCTGGTTTCTACACAACCCCTTCGTCCATCGCCGCGGTGGCCACGCAAAGCGTGCGGCGCGTTTGAAGACTCGAGTCAGAATCGTCCCGGTGCAAGCCCCACGGAGCAATAAAACAACAACAATAACAACAAAACAGACAAGGGTCTGTTTTGTCACGTGACAATAAAATGAAATGACATTTCGTTCCGTCGGCCTGTGGGCCTTCTGGACCAGTGGTCTGGGGGTTTTTTTTCTCCCAGCAGCATTTGTTCAAGCGGGCAAACTCTGGACCGGCCTTTTTTTTGTCATCAGCAGAGCGTAGCCTGTTCAACAAATGTCCGCTTGCGTTGTAATTCATGAAAGACACCGTGAGGTTGCAGGGCGTTTGGTACACAATTCCAGTCAGGACGGTATTTAATGATATTGATTGTGTGCTATGAGCATGTCACTGCCATGAGATAAAAAGACGTTTCAATTCGGGACTCTATCCTTGTGCCACGAGAACGGCCCCGGAAGATGGCATCACATAATCACTTCTGACGTCACATCAATTTGCATTGTCACTGACACGTGCGCTATATCCCGTGCAAATAGTGTTCGTCGCCTGTCAATCAAATCTTCAATGATCCATTTTAAGTGGGTGATGGTGATTTTTTGGGGGCATTAATTGGTGACTGAGCTGAGACCATGAATGCATACATTACACTATATTATGCCCATAGTATATAGAAATGTATTTAAACCAGGGCGGCTTAAACCAAGGGTCACAGTAATGTCAAACTCATTGCTCTCATATGGCTGTTAAGCCCCCCTGGCCACCTAAGCTTAAATCCACACTTTGCTTTGTAAATCACGCAATGTATAAAATGCGAAAATTACACACAGTATATTTGGAATGCTGTATATCAACAAAGTTTTTCCGTGAATAGAAATTGGCCAAACATGATTAAAAAATGAGCACTCTCCGAAACGAAGAGAGACCTCAGACTCAGGCACTGCTGGATAAATTATACCACACTGAAATAAGGAGGTACCTTTAAAAGTATCATCAAGTTGATTTAAAAACACATATAATTTGATTGCAGATTGAACTCAGTGGTTGAATATTGGGGAAATGTGAACGATAAAAGTCCATGCAAATAAAACTATCAACTTGCAGTGGCACCCTTATATATGATCTCATACAAATATTGACCGAACCAGGTAGACCTTAACGTAATTCAAACACAGCATTGCCTGAAGGCAGGTTTGGCTGCTGGAAGTGGTGAAGCCGCACACGTGACGCAACATTCTGAACGTAAACACACTTGGAGCTGTGTGTGTGTGTGGTTTTTATTGTGCGCTTATGAACCAATAGACCATGCGGTGATTACGCGAGCGATGCGATGCAATAATATACAGAGGGCGCCTATGTCCACAGTGCTTTGAACCACTTTGCAAGGAAGGAGGAGGACACGGCAGGGAGGAGGCCCACAGTCACGATAACAATGCTGCGCCTATAACCACAGGGAAAGTGCGGTATTTGGAGACAATAAATCCGTTAATACCAGAAGAAGGAGAAGAACAACAATCCCCCAAACAGCTCTCGGTGGCTTCTGGCTATGTGAGGGTCAGGAAAGTAAAAGCAGACTTATCAAAGAGCCCATGACATTTTTGGCAAAGAGGAGGCCACCGCGTGGCCTTGTGAAATCTCCCCCTACATTTTCATCTTGCCTCAAATGTGAACGAAAAACTCCCTGCATGGGTGGATGCGGTCTACTCCATCTCTCTTAAATACGAGAGGGTGGAGAGTGGCCGGGTGGCTCAGGGTGGCGGGGGTTCATAATGGCTGGACAACGACGTGGTGCTGGGGGTGGTGGTGGAGGAGCTGTAGCTGAGGGGACAGGACAATGAGGTGGTCTGGCTTAACCAAGCACGCATGAGATGCAACTTGAATGCCTCACTCACACTTAGCTTTTTTTTAGTACCACCTTGGCTACACCGTCTCTCTACTAAGCCTGCTAATACTGCACCTAAATGCACGTGCTATTGTGCTGTAGATGTACGTTTTAACATAATACATCTGCGTCAATAGCAATACAAACTTTAACAGTTAAATCAAATGTCTTGTTAATACCCTTCTGTCTCGAGGTGTTTAAATAGCTCCACCCCTGGCCCTGCTTGACCCCGAGTCAGATTCAGTTGTCTTGAGGCTGACTCGCCCGTCTATATTGGACATCTGTGAAAAAAGAGCTTCATTGCTCATCGGATTCCTCCAGTCTAGATTCTGATTCTGAGGTTTGCGAATCTGGGATAGAGAGGGAGGGGGTGATAAATCACTTACACCCACGAACCAATGATCTTCTCTCCTCTCGCTTAGGGCAGCGATGTGTTTGGGAGGTAACTATCAATGTGGAGGTCTGCTAGCCACGACGAGAGGGCTTCAGGAGAGAGTTCGTGTGGTGTCGCCGTTCCTCCTCCGTCGAAGGAGCGCAAACAACAGCGGTTTAACTCCACGGTCCACATCTTGGGTTGCAAGGTCACAGTCGCACCGCTTGTTGTGACTTGTCAGTGAACAGGGCAAACAGAATTGCCTTCTCACACGAAGACTCGGATGCCACTAGCACTGAGAGCACGAGACCACCGCACATAACCACTGTCAGCTGACAATCGTACCAATAAAAATATATACTGTTAGCGCATTCCTTTTTTTTCTCCCTGTCATAGATTTTGTTGTTGTTGTTGTTGTTGGGTCAATTTTCCTTTTTTTTGTTAAAACCGCCCAACAAAGGCATCGTCCGTCTGAGAGTAACCTCGGCTTGATCATCTCCCACTCCCCTCCTTGCGTGAGGTGTAGAATTGTCGCGTGAAATCACAAAGACTCCGTACATCGCTGTGTTTATGGAGTTTCGCATTTTTTGGTTAGCGTTCATGGTGTTGTTGTTTTGTTACAGTAACATTACCACACGTGGTCTATTAAACGGGGAGCGATGTCGCAGAAGTTGGTGCCACTGCGCCATGAGCCCGGCCTCCTGAAATTCGGTCGAATTCCCTGGCCACGGTCTCACATCAGTGGCGAGTGAGACATCTTTGAAAAGCACAACCCGGCTCACACTCGCAACCTTTCACTGACCAGCTTGGTGAAGTATGGTCAAGGACCCCCCCCCCATCACCCACTCCACCCACCCCATGAACAACATGACGTAGTGGGACTTTCATCGAGCAATGCATCAACAAAGGCGATGTAAATCATCATCATCATCACAATCGTGGCCATCGTCATTGTTAGACGCATCAGCGCATCCGTGGGCGCCTTCGACAGAGGATATTCTTAAAGGCTCGTCGAAAATCCTGGTTGAAGACCGTGTATATGAGCGGGTTCAACGAGCTGTTGCAGTAACCGCACCAGAAGAAGAACTTGAAGAGATACTCGGGAGGTTTGCACGACGCCTCGCAGATCTTGGTGAGGCTGTAGGAGAAGAAGAACGGGAACCAGCAGGCCACGAACACTCCCATCACCACGGCCAGCACGAACGTGAAGCGTTTCTCACGAGCCGCTGTGAGCTTGCGTCTGGCCATCTTGGTGCTGCAGAGGCCCAGCTTGCTGGAGCCTCCCCCTCCTCGTCGTCCCTCCTCGTCACACCTGAGCGAGAGGCTTCCCCGCGGCCTGGGATCATCGTCGTCGTAGTCGTCTCCCGCCTCCGTCTCGGCGTCTCTCTCCTCCTCCACCTCCACCGCCGCCACGGTTCGGGAAGACCACGGCCGGGAGGCGCCGCTGCGCTCCCCTCGCTCCGTCATCTCCCTCTTCTCCTCCCTCGTCTCCTCCTCCATCATCACCACCGCCGCTGCCGCCAGCTCCTCCGGCATCGTCACCACCTCGCCGCCACCACCACCCTCGACGAGGTGCTTGCCGTTTGACATGGTCGTCTCGTGGCCAGTAAACCCTCCTTGCCTCCCGGCGAAAATGTGCGACTGCCTGCCATTGCTACTGACGACGTCCATCACGGAGGCGCGCGTTGCGCGAATGGTTCCAGTCTCATCCTGCTCCTCCTGCTGCTGCTGCAGGTCATGCATCGGCTTCTCCGCGGTTTCCACCAACACCTCCTCATCCGGAGCCGAGCTGCCATCTTCTCCAGCAGCGTCGCGCACACACTGCCCGTTCTGCCGTGGCGCGCACGGGGCGAGGGGCGTCGAGAGTGAAGGAGGAGGATGTTGACGAGGTGGAGGAGGAGGAAAAGGAGGGCGCAATTCATCCGCTTGCGATTCGAACGCACTCGGATTTTGTTGCAGCTGCTGTTGCTGTGGTTGCAACTGTTGTGTCTGCTGCTGCGTCTGCTGCTGCAGCTGCAGCATCTGCTGCTGCTGCAGCTGCTGCGTCTGCTGCTGTGTCTGCTCTTGCTGCTGCTGCAGCTCGGCCAAGGGCGCTTCCCTCTCGCTGCCCCCGCGACTCCTGCGTCTCGCGCGCCCCTTGGCCACCTGGTAGATGCGCGCGTACACGAGCAGCATGATGAGGCACGGGGCGAAGAAAGAGGCGGTGCAGGAGGACAGCACGTACCAGGTCTCCTCGTTCAGCTTGCACGTGGGCAGCACAGAGGAGGGCGAGCCGCTCGCGTTGCGGCCGGAACCCTGGTGGCGGTGGCGGTGGATATTCGCCGGGGGGCGGCCCGTGCCCACGAGAGGAGGGAACGAGATTAAGGCGGCGATGACCCAGACGATGACGATGGCGCGCTTGACGCGGCGAGGCGTGCGCTTCATGTTGTAGCGCACAGCCTGCGTCACGCTCCAGTAGCGGTCCAGACTGATGGCGCACAGGTGGACGATGGACGAAGTGCAGAAGAGCACGTCGAGGGCCAGGTACATCTCGCACCAGAAGCTGCCGAACACCCAGTAGCCCATGAGCTCGTTGGCGAGCGAGAAGGGCATCACCAGCGTGGCGACCAGGATGTCGGCGGCTGCCAGGGACACCAGGAAGAGGTTTTGGGCGGCTTTGAGGGACTTGCTGGTGAACACGGCGATGGCCACCAGGCTGTTGCCGAAGATGGTGACCAGGATGATGAAGCTCACGACCAGGGTGAGGGTCACCATGGTGGTGGTGGAGTGTGGCAGCTGCCAGTCGTTAGTGGCGGTGTCATTGCTGCTGCTGCTCCTGCTGCTGTTGATGATGATGCCGCTGCTGCCGATCTCACCACGAGCCTCCAACCCCGGCCACGAGGCGTCTGACCCATTGATCTCGTGTCCGTACAGCTCGGACATCATTGGTGGCCTTCAACGCTCCTCTTCCTCCTCCTCCTCTTTGCCCGCGTCGTCGTCCACGTCGTCTTGGTTTTGGTGAACGAGAGGAGGAGACGAAGGCGAACGTGAAATTAAGAAGATCAAATCACGGATCATCGCGTTCGACCTTTGGGAGTCTCCAGCGCGTCGAATCCGAGACCACAGCCGCTCCACTCGGCCGTTCGTATGGACCAGAGGTCATCGTTGAGAGAGAAGGAGGAGGAGGAGAAGGAGGCATCCGTGGCTCAATGTGATTGATTCTGCTGCTGCTGCCCTCTCGTCATCTTCTCTCTCCTATGGTGCCCAGGCTCATCTTGCTCCCGACAGGAGATGTTCTTTATCCTGCCTTGAGCATTGGACACGCTGCACATGTATCACCGCCTTCTGACTGAAGCCACTGCTCCTCGTCTGTCTCTCTCTCTCGCTGTCTCGTCCTCTGCACGCCTCTCCGAGCGAGGAGCTCCGTCTACAGCGAGGCACAGCAGTAGCAGCAACAACAACAGCCTCGTTATGGAGTTTAAACCTCAGCAAAAGCACGCGACTCTGCGTTGGCAGGGAGATTGCCCTGTTAAGTGCATTTCATAACGAACTGGGGCGGGGTTGGGTTCGATCGCGTCAATTTGAATGCCAACAACCAACAGAGCCGACCGGTAATCAACACGTGTCAATGCGTTACTACTTCAGCACACCGGTGTGCTAAGAGAGTAGAACCCACAACATTTGCAATTTGAGTACGACTAAGTACAATTATAAACGCGCAACTCATGCAACCGAGATCAGCGGTTCCCAACCATGTCGAGTGTGCTGACCCCGTTTCAGCCTCCAGATATCTCGCGGATCACCACCACACGCTGCTCCGAACGGTTGTTTGAGATTTTACATTTCCTTGGCGAGGATGTTGTTTATTTTTGTTTTCCGCGGACTCCCTACCGGAATAGTCTCTACTGGACTCCTCTGATAAAGAGCTTCATTGCTCATCGGATTCCTCCAGTCTCAATAAGGATTCTGAGTCTCGAGGCCCACCAGAGATCCGTGGATCAGAGGGTTGGAAAGCGCTGAGCCGGGTTATCAATCCGTCAACAACAATTGCCCTAAGAGGAAACGTTGATTTAAGGCGACGTTTCGGCCAATTGACGCTTATTCATCTCTCTGCTTACAAAGAAAGGGGCGATTGCCTGAAACGTCGCCACGTAGACGTTTTCTCTCGGGCAGTGTTCTTGGCAAGTCTTTTGGTGGGGTTACACGTGAGGGTGTGTGTGTGCATTGGCCATTGGATGGAGTGTAACCATTTAAGGGCCTCCATTCTATTTACACAGCAAAAAAAACATCGATCATAATTTTGTTTGCATGGGTGGGGGGGGGGTCCCGTTGTGTCTCCGTCTCGTTCGTGTTGTCTCCGTTAAGTTTAAATAGCAAAATATAATACAGGTTATTTCTTTAGTGTTAGTTGTAATTACCGGCGAAACGTCGTACTCAGATTGTAAATGTTGTGGATTTACTCTCCAACACATCGGCGTGCTGTTACTCGTAACGAATGGGCACGTCCTGTTTACGTGACAACCCTTACTGATTGGCTGTGTCGGGTGGTGGCGGGTTTAACGATACATTTATATATTTACGCGATCTAAAACAAAAACGTGTATTGTGGATGATATTGGTCGCGAAAGCTTACGTGTTAAATACGGTACCCTATCAGAATATTATGTTGATAATCACTTTAATAAATCAAGAACGGTGTCAGCAGCAGAGGGCAGTGCAGCAACATCCATCGTGACGCTGCACCCTCCAACTCCTTCACCAAACCGCAGTGACCAGCGCGGTGAAGTATGGTCAAACAACGTCCACCGCGAACCGCACGGCGTGGGGAAGGTCTCCGTCATCCAGCAGTGGATAGCCAAGGAGGCAGTTGTGAATGCCATGTTGCAAATCTCAACAAACCGCAGCTGCTACACATGTGAGACTCGCTCTCTCTCTCTTGCCGTGCCTATTGGCTCGTGAGCCTAACAAAAGTCATCGATGATAATCGATTAATCTTTTCCAAACCCGAGTGTTCATCCTAGAGACGAGGCAGTCCCATGCAACAGCAACAATAGCCGCAGGCAGATGAAGTATGGTTAAACAACCCCAATGAGCGGCATGGCATCATGGGGGAAGGGCCTTCATCTAGCAGTGGAGAGACGAGGAGGCCGAGTGTCATCGTTGTTGTGATATGCAATGACTGTGCAGTCGCGACAGAAAGTGGAATTCGCCTCTGTCACCCACCTGCTGGACATCCTCTCGCCTCTGTCACTCGCCCGGACGTTCGAACTTCGTCAACTCATTCACTCCCAAACTCCTTCCGCAACAGCCGCGCTTGGCCCGTTCATTCATTCAATCGTTCACGAGAATGCCGTCCGCTTTTGCTTTGCACACTAAGCTCGTCTCATTCGGCCATTCGAGTATCCCCTTGACTCACTCGTTCGTCGACTCGTGCACTCGCTCTGTCAAACACTCCGCCACTCGATCATCCACCGCTCGCTACCTCATTCACTCACTCTCATTCGTTCGCTCGCCCGCGTCGACTCTACAGCTTGTCACTCGATCACCCGCTCCATCCACAGATCGCTCAGTGAGTCGCTCACCCGTCATATCACTCGATCGTCTGCTCACTCACTCACTCACTTCCACTGGCTCGTTCACTCAGGCACCTTCTCGTAATCTCACTCACCCTCTCACTTACTCAGCCACTCACTCACTCACCCACTCACTCACTTGACAAACCACTCACTCATCCTCTCACTTACTCAACCACCCACTCACTCACTCACAACAACAACCGCCATTCGCCACTAAGTGGCGGTGACGTCACCACGACGCTTGTGCCAGGCCATGTGCACCTTGAGGCCACGTGAAGTGTCGAACGCCCGCTGGCAGGAGATCACGGGGCAGACCCAGATACCACGGGTCGACTGACTGAGATGACTGGCTGATGCACCAGCTGTGCCCCCTACTGTGCCAACCTGCTGTGCTTTAGCCACCCGGCGCTCCGCTCGTTGTTGTGAGCGTCGCTCCTCCGCCCTCCGTTGTTGTTGGAGGGCGACTGCCTCCAACTGCCCAGTAGCATCCTTCACGAGCCTCCTCCACAGAGGCCGATCTTGACACCGCTGGTACCAGTCATCGGCAAGTCCACTCAGCTCCACGTCCTATTGTACCATATCACTCCATCTCTTCTCTAGCCCGTGCCACGCCCGTTTAGCCCCCTCGATCCGGCCGAACAAAAGCTGTTTCGGCATGCGGTGGCTGGGCATGCGGGCTACATGACCCAGCCAACGCAGCCTTGCCTGCCGGAGGAGCTCACCGTTGGGACCTTGCCCAGATCGTTCAAGGATTTGTGAGTTCCTCACACAATCCAGCCTGGTTAAACCCAGGATAGATCGTAGGCAGGCTAGCCTAAATGTTTCTAACCGGCAAAGATGTTCCATTAGGGGGTCCACGTTTCGCAAGCGTAGAGAAGGGAGGGAATGACCGTGGCCGAGAAGACCTGAAGCTTAGTGCGGAGGGACAGACCAGGTAGCTTCCATACAGCGTTAAGCAACCGATGAAAGATATTGACGCTCGACTGATTCGGAGTGAGACCTCTGCTGTTAAACTGGAGCCGGTCATAAGCACACTGCCCAGGTATGGGAAACTCTCCACTCTCTCCACAATTGCCCCATCACCAATTGGGAGTTGTGGGGGTGGAGTGTCCGATGGTACAAAATACCCAGGCAGGTGCTTAGTTTTGGTGGGGCTGATGGTAAGGCCCCATCTCTTAGTGGCACGCTCCAGTCTCAGCAGCAGCGTCTCCAACTCCTCCTCTGAATGAGCAGCTATTACCAAATCATCAGCATACATAACGTGGTTGAGCAATAGGGAGCCATCCCTTGACCGCACCCGGGCATCGATCAGCCTCCCATTATATCTGTACCAAATGGAGATTCCCCGGTACAGCTATTGAAGGCTTCACGAACTACGTGGTCAAAATAAATGTTAAATAATGTGGGAGCCAGAGGACATCCCTGTCGCACCCCAAGGTGTACAGGGAATGGCTCTGACTCCCGGCCACGTAGTTTTACCCGGGCCCGCTCACCATCATGAAGGTCCTTAATTATCGTGAGCAGAGGGTCAGGGACTCCAAAAACACGAAGAACAACCCAGAGCCCAGACCTACTGATGGTATCATAGGCATTGACCAGGTCAATAAAGCAGAGATGTAGGTCTTGCTGAAATTCCCTACACCTCTGCTGTAGCAGACGGACAGAAAATATGACTTCTGTGCAGGACCGCCCTTTCCTGAAACCGCATTGGGGCTCCGCAAGCCTCTCCTCAGCGTGCCTGGCAAGGCACCAGGACCTTTCCCGGCACACTGACTCACCCACTCACTCACGCACACTGGCTCGTTCACTCGGGTAGCCTCTCGTGATCTCGGTCACCCTCTCACTCACTCAACCACTCACTCACCCACTCACTTGACAAACCACTCACTCACCCTCTCACTTACTCAACCACTCACTCACTCACCCACTCACTCACTTGACAAACCACTCACTCACCCTCTCACTTACTCAACCACTCTCTCACTCACCCACTCACTCACTTGACAAACCACGCACTCACCCTCTCACTTACTCAACCACTCACTCACTCACTCACCCACTCACTCACTCACTTGACAAACCACTCACTCACCCTCTCACTTACTCAACCACTCACTCACTCACTCACCCACTCACTCACTTGACAAACCACGCACTCACCCTCTCACTTACTCAACCACTCACTCACTCACCCACTCACTCACTCACTTGACAAACCACTCACTCACCCTCTCACTTACTCAACCACTCACTCACCCACTCACTCACTCACTTGACAAACCACTCACTCACCCTCTCACTTACTCAACCACTCACTTACTCACCCACTCACTTGACAAACCACGCACTCACCCTCTCACTTACTCAACCACTCACTCACTCACTTGACAAACCACTCACTCACCCTCTCACTTACTCAACCACTCACTCACTCACCCACTCACTCGACAAACCACTCACTCACTCACCCACTCACGCGCGCGCGTCCCTCCACTCGATCACGCCCGATCGCTCGCTCGCTGCACGCGCCCAAGGCACGCCGACAGCGCTGCGACCTCGTCTGCTCTCGGAAGCCCACGCACGCTTTGAGCCTTCTTGGGCTACTAGGCGGTTGGGAGCCGGCAGAACAGCAATGGATTATTGAATCTATCTGTGTGGAGTGTTACCCCTTGAATGCGTTTGGGGATGTTGTTTTTTTTACGGTTGGGCCGGTTTCATTCCCCGTGAAGCCAATTTGTCATGGATGTACCGCGTGCCCAAACAAGGCTCATGTAACCCTCTTCAAAACGTTTCTTGAGACTCGGGAAACGCTGTTCTCGATTAAGGGCATTTTTTTCACGACACTATTACGAGAGGTAGGCTCGTCTTACGGACAGGGCGAATCTTCATCGTCGGCCCCTGATTCACCACATTATTCAAACACACGGTCAACAACGAACCCATTCATCTACTCACCCATCCAATCACTCGCTCCTCATTCACCTCACCAACCACTCGTGATATCCACCACACTCACTCCCCCACTCGCCCACTAACTCGCCCACTCACTGACTTGACAAACCGCTCATAAATCCAGTAGCTTCACTCACCCTCTCACTTACTCAACCACTCACTCACCCACTCACTCACTCGCCCACTCAATCACATGACCAACCACTCATCAACACACTCACTCACTCGCCCACTCAATCACATGACCAACCACTCATCAACACACTCACCCAATTGTCGGAGTGACGTGCTCTCCACTCACCCCTCTTCTTGGCACCCGTTTCCAAACCTCGCTCAGCCCCGGAAAAAAAGACACCACCACCTCCTCGTCCTCGTCCTCCTCGTCCGCCTCCACCTCGTTCACGACGTTACCCCGACACTCAGAGCAACCCTCAACCTCCGCACCATCGTCCTTAAGCCCCGGTGTAGGACTCAGAGAGCGGCGGGTGATGATGATGGATGGGGGGAGGGGGTAACATATGGCTGGAGATTGGCGTTCGGGGTTGGACCGGCTCGGAGAGTGGCGAGAGGAGGCGACGCAAGCGCGGGACCGACTCGACGTCCGTGAGCGAGATGCGCGCGGTGGAGAATGGCAGAGAAGATAAATTACAAAATATTGACGGGCAGGCCCGCGAACCGCCCGCCCCCACCTCGACTCCCGTTACCAACCTTGCTGCTGATGCTGATGCTGCTGCACCCCCAATTCATATCCCACCACCCCTCCCTCTCACCTTCCCCGTCCTCCTCCCCTCTTCCCCCTCCCTCCCCTGCGTCCCCCCCACAACCGGTACCCTACCCGCTCCCCAATAAATGCTGTCAGAATTAGAAGGGGAGGGGGGGGAAATCGCACGTCGTTTCCTTGAAAATGTTCAATTGACAGTCACTCGTCATGTCCGTGTGTACCTGTGTTGTCTATCCTTTGAAGGTATTGATTTGCGTTTGTCGCCGCTGGCTCCATGCGGAATAAACAAGCGCCCGTTACGTCTCCACACCCCACCGCCACGTGAAACGGCGTGACCGGTGGAGCTCCTCTCTCATCGGACGGTGCCGTCGGATGAGAGAGGAGCCATTGTGCATTGCGGGTAGAGAGGCCCACGTGGGCATGAGCGAGGGCATATGTGACTCACAGACAAACAATGCTCATTATTTGCGCTCGTCTCAGAGCGGCGATGGGGGCGGGGATGGGGGGGAGGGCTTCGTTAATTTATCTGCTGGAAATCTAACACCGCCACGATGTGATGGTGATGATGATGATATCAATAATTGTACTTCTTTATCAGCCCTGCAGCGCGACTTTGACTTTAAAGTGGTGGCTGGGATACAACGACTCAGAAGGGGGGGAGGGAGTGGTCAACGCAGCCAATGTTAAAGAAACTTCAAACGAATGCTAAACGCCAAACTGAATAAGTAACGATGCGATCTGCCCCCTGTCTATGTGGTGCATGCTACTCCCCGGCTGTTACGCTCGTCACTAAATTGTACAATTACTATGACTGATTTTCTTTTCACGCTTGACGATGGGAATTCATAAAAAGCGGGGGGGGGGGGGGGGGGTACTGAGATTTAGCAGCAGCAGGTGAGGGGGGAGACTCAGATTCCTCCAGCCCTCTTAGTGCTACGGGGTTGCCCTTTCCTTGCCCAGCAAAGGGCTCCAGAGAGGCTCAAGACTCCTCACTGGGAGGGTGATGCGAATGTGGTGTATTTGGCCGAATTCATTAAAGAGGAGTGGCTCCTCTTTTCTTTTATTTCGCAGGCGAAGGAAACCGGAACACCACCCGGAGAATCCTCAGCAAGCCGATAACACTCAAAGCCCAGCGAGGTGTGAGTGTGTGCTTCACTCATCTGTAAGTGATCCACCAACCTTTGCCTCCTAAAGGAGGCGTGCGTCACCACAGCTCCACACTGGGTCGTGGGACTCTTCTACACGAGGGTCCTGCATGAGGTTTCTTAAATTAAGATGTTTTCAATCACTAAATGAGCTGTTGTGTGGAAGTATGCTGAACTTCTTTCGCACCGTACGTAGCCAACCGTGCGAATCGGAGGTTTCCTCCAACTTGTGTAGCGGTTAGCGCTACGCCGCGCTATGGACCGGGCGCGCCGAGTTCGATTCCCGCTCACGGCCAACACCGGTGACGATTATCTGAGCCGGTCCTGGGCCTCTCCTAGGTCGACTGAGCCTCAAATGAGTACCTGGTGCGATGTGTAAAAACATTGCCACTGGGGAAATAAAGGCGGTCGGGCGTGATGCTGGCAACCCAACCCCTCGTGTGCCGTGCCGGCCTTCGTAGGTGCTCGCTAACAGCACTTGCCCCATCAGTCTATTAAGGCTATACGGGGGATCTTTGTCTTTGTTTGTGTGCGTGTGAGCGTTGGCGCAGTGGTTAGCGCGCCGCGTTTCAGACCCAGCGACCGTGAGTTTGATTCCCGACCACGGCTAAGATCAAGTGAAGGAATATCTGAATTCAGTTATTTTTTGGGTAACCTCCCCATCGGTCGACTTCGCCTTGAACGGGTACAGGGCGTGGGTGTGTAAACATCAGCACCGGGGGGGAGGACAAACGCTGCTGGGTGTCGTGGTGCTGCTGGACACCACGACACCCCAGCCCGTACGCTGTGCGCCGACCCTCGTGGCCTCTCACGAACAGCAGCCACTCCAAACATGCCGTGTGTGTCATGAACACACAATTAGAGGGGTCGTGAGATGAGTGAGTGACTGATGAAGATTGCAGCGATCATGTAGAAGGGCTATAAAGATGCAATCGTAGATTTGAGTCTAGCGTTTATCATATTTTCGTTAATTTAGGAGGCGCGTGGGGGGGGGGGAGGGTTGAGGGGGGTTTGTTGCTGAAGGATTTGAGAAGGTACCGACACATCCAAATCTGAAATCAGGTTTTTAATTAATTTTATTTGATCAGAAAAAAATATATTTATGTTTCGGCATCTCAAATTTAAGGTTAAAATGTTTCAATTCCAAGGATTCCGAATCTGAAAGTGAAAATATTTAGTTTTACCATACTTAAACACGTAGTAGGCTTTCGCAACCAATATCATCCATAATATAGGGGTTTTTTGGGTTTAGATCGCGTAAATATATTAATGTGTCGTTAAAACGGCCACTACCAAATCTGGATGTCGCCTGATGAAGCTAGTTGTAATTACTGGCGAAACGTCGTACTCATTGTAAATGTTGTGGCTTGGCTCTCCAACACACAACCGGTGTGCTGTACTAGTGACGAATTGGCCACGTTCTGTTCACGTGAGAACCCTTACTAGTTGGCTGTGTCGGGTGGTGGCGGGTTTAACGACAAATTTATATATTTACGCGATCTAACCCAAAAAAAACCTCTATTATGGATTTACAATATTTGTTGTGACGAGATCAGTGTGACACTAAAGTAAATGGAAGCCAGTTACGACGACTACATGCAAACATAAAGATAAAGATCCCCCGTATAGCCTTAAGAGACTGTTGGGGCAAGTGCTGTTAGCGAGCACCTGTGAAGGCCGGCACGGCACACGAGGTGGTGGGGGGCCAGCACCATGCCCGGCCGCCTTTGTCTCTCCAGTGGCTATGTATACACACCGCCGCAGGTACTCATTTGAGGCTGCGTCGACCCAGGGGAGGCCCAGGAACAGTTCAAATTATTGTTACTGATTTTGGCCGTGAGCTGGAATCGAACTCGGGTGGCAGAGTTTGTAGCGCAGCGCGCTAACCGCTACACTACAGCTCCCCGACTGCATGCAACTACATACACCCGTTGTGTTATCGGTACACGTGGAGGCACTGAGATATTACAGCGCCGCATGTCACGCTAACAGCCCGCTGTGTGCAATCTCCCCACGTGTGCGCTTTGCGTGCAGTGCGACATAAACGTGTGCGGTGCAAGCTCGTCCGCCGGTGGAGAATAATGAAAACATAAAATGTATACGCAGGGATGAGTCATCGCCACCATCTATTGTTAACCCTCATTATTACCATCGTCATCAATTATGTTCCATCGTCATTAACACGTATTATTGTAATCACCCATCAGCAGGATTGTCATGATTTTTTTAAATAATTATCATCACCGTGTATAATATTGCCCTATAATCATCATCATCATCAAGGGTGAAGAACGTTGTCTTCCTACTGAACCTAGCATGGGAGAGGCACTTGTCGTCATCGGTTGCCTTGTGCCAGAAGTGGAAATTCCACATTCCCATGGCTTGGGCCAGTATACAGCTCATGTTGACTTTTCCACAAAGTGATGGACAGAATAATGAGACGAGTCAATCCAAAACTTACATCTCTAAAAATGAAAAAATACCACAATTGTCAATTACACCGCAGGCTCAAAATATAAAAATAGGTGACTTGTCGGGCAATCGCCCTCCTTCACAGCACATAAATACAGAGTCCAGAGAGATTGACGCACTAAGAGTTGGAGACTGCACTTCACACCATGGGGCCTGATGAATTTTACATTAAAAAAAACTAAATTCTGAAGATCGGTTTGAAAATGTAAATATGAATAGTTAGCTAACAATAGATATTGAGTAACAAACAAACCCCTGCAAAAAAAAAACATCAAAAAGTACTACAGTGAGATAAACTAATTTGTTTTTAAAGTCAATTTATAAAATGTTTCTGGCACATTGCATCATCAAAATTGAGTGTCACAGTCTGCACACTTGTACAGAGCGGCACAGCCTCTGAAGCAATTGCTGTTAGCGAGCACCTGTTGAGGCTTGTACGTTGTGATGTGGCGAGCCCCGTGTCCTTGTCTCCTCCATCTCCACAGTGCCGATGCGTGCACACCGCACCAGACACTCAGTTTAAGGCTGGACGGCTGGTCCAGAAAGTCATCATAGATGCTGGACAACTTATTACCCCTGTGCAGTGTCAACGACTCAACACACACCTCTGTAGTGCAACAGACTCAGTAACCGGTGCGTGACAGCACCGGTGGGTGGTGGCAGAGTCAACAATACACCTGTGTACACGTGACAGAGACAACAATGTCCCTGTGTACACGTGACAGAGACAACAATGCACCTGTGTACACGTGACAGAGACAACAATGCACCTGTGTACACGTGACAGAGACAACAATGCACCTGTGTACAGGTGACAGAGACAACAATGCACCTGTGTACAGGTGACAGAGTCAACAATGCACCTGTGTACAGGTGACAGAGACAACAATGCACCTGTGTACAGGTGACAGAGACAACAATGCACCTGTGTACAGGTGGCAGAAACAACAATGCACCTGTGTACAGGTGACAGAGACAACAATGCACCTGTGTACACGTGACAGAGTCAACAATGCACCTGTGTACAGGTGACAGAGACAACAATGCACCTGTGTACAGGTGACAGAGACAACAATGCACCTGTGTACACGTAACAGAGACAACAATGCACCTGTGTACAGGTGACAGTCAACAATGCACCTGTGTACACGTGACAGAGACAACAATGTACCTGTGTACACGTGACAGAGACAACAATGTACCTGTGTACACGTGACAGAGACAACAATGTACCTGTGTACAGGTGACAGAGACAACAATGTACCTGTGTACAGGTGACAGAGACTACAATACACCTGTGTACAGGTGACAGAGACAACAATGCACCTGTGTACAGGTGACAGAGTCAACAATGCACCTG